TACTTAGGTGCCAAAATATATTTTTGCGGGGTACGAACCCCTTCAGGTTCGGGTCCGATCGCCTGAACGTTCGGGGGTCAGCTTAGGGGCCTCCGTACTTAGGTGCCAAAATATATTTTTGCGGGGTACGAACCCCTTCAGGTTCGGGTCCGAACGCCCGAACGTTCGGGGGTCAGCTTAGGGGCCTCCGTACCTTCGGCCTGGCAACCCTGTATACATATATATTATTATTTTTCAATAATTTTATCTATTTCTCAATGGCTTACTTGAAAAGCTGTCAGCACTTTCCCTTCCGAACTGAGTTAGTGAATAAAATAAAAAAATATTGTTTCGGTCACAAAACAAACTGAAACCGACTGCCATCTTCCCCGGAAGAAAACGCACACCTATGAAACATCTATACAAGCTATCTTTCCACTGCTATACGGTGGTGATGAAGATGCATTGCGTTCGGGGGAAGATGGTTGGCTAAGTAAAAGGGCACTCCTCCATGCATGTTCACTGAAACTGATTGCCACCTCCCTCCGAACAAAACGCACCCCTATACCAACTGGCCTACCTCAGTTGGTACACCCCTGAGCTGTCAACAGCCTCGGTTCGAACTCCACTGGAAGCAGATGAGTGAAATACTATGCGAGCCCTTGGCACACGTCCGCCGAAAGTTCCAAGGGTGATTCTGAATTACCTTGGACTGGTTAGTTCGATGATGATATCTTAAGGTCGCCCCCACTCCGGGGAGCGATAGGAGCCAGAACCACAGGGCACTGTTAAAAAAGTATTAAAAAAAAAAAAAAAAGGTATACGGGGGTGGGGGGGTGCGTGTGTGCTCGCGTGTGCGTAGATGGCCACACACGCGCACTCACACACGCGGAACTGGGGGGGTGGTATTTAAGGGGGAGACGGGGGGGGAGGGTAGGGGAGGGTTAAATCGTGCAGGGGTGCTGGACCACGTACCCGAACCCCTGCACACCCAATCCATTGAATACAAAATGGCAGGAGCCCCCACATTTTTTATTCAATGAGAATTTCACGGGGGGTAGGGGTATTTTGAACGGCTTTTGAGGGCAGTTTAACTCCCCCCACACCTCTTTAAAAGGACACCCAGCCCCCCTCTCCCTTTACAACCTATCTTTCCAGTGCGATACAGTCGTGCCAAAGATGTGTTCCATTCAGGGGAAGACGGTGGGCTATGTAGGGGCACTTGTCCATAAATGTTAAATGTTAACTAAAACCGACTTCCATACAAGCTATATCTTTGAAGTCCAATACAGCCGTGGCGAAGATGCGTTGGGTTCGGGGGACACTGGCTTCGAGGAGAAGACGGCAGGCTAAGGACACTCGTCCATGCATGTTGCTTATATCCAGTCCCAGAATCCAGGGACCTGGTTTGTAAATCCACCAAAGGGTTGTCAATCCTTCTTTCAGGGACAGTGAGGGGGGACGGAAGGGGCACTCCAGGGGAGAAAGCACTTAAAAGGGGGGGAAAGGGGGGAAAACACAATGAGAGAGAGAACGCTGCAAGGACACAGCAATGACGACAGTGACATCGAGAAAGAAAGCACAAACAAGCAGGAAACCTACACCAAAGCCAAGCAATGTCCTACAACAATGGAGAAAGGAATAGCCGTGAGGAACACACGCACGCACAGAGAGAGAGAGAGAGAGAGAGAGAGAGAGAGAGAGAGAGAGAGAGAGAGAGGGGGAGAGAGAGAGAGAGAGAGAGAGAGAGAGAGATCCTGGGTATATTGCCAGGGTTCAACATCCTGATGAGGCAGTGGAAGTCTGACGAAACAGTCTGGCACAGTCATGCATTTCTTTGTGGACATGCACACACACACACACACACACACACACACACACACACACACACACACACACACTCGGAGAGAGAAGAAGGGGGGAGGGCGGGAAGGGGAGGCAGAGGCTGTCAGCCACTGACCAAGGCACATGAACAAAGACGAGGAAAATCCAAATAAGCTTCGACCTTTGAGACAATTGTAGTTATCGAAAAAATAATGGGCAAGTAAGGCAGTCCTACAGGGCGTCATTACCACTCGTCATGAGCCAAGACGAAAGCCAGCTGCGGGCACAGCAGGCTATATGAATGATGTCCGAGAAGAGAGCGACAAGGTGGAGAGGGGCTTGAGGGGGTTAAACATGAACTACCACCTCGGCAATATTTCAGAATGTGACGATTCTCTAATTGACTAGACTAAAACATAAACAGCACCACCACCATCACCATCCTCCTATCTGGCGCAAAAGCCAGTGCATCCCACTCTAGGTCAGAATGCAGTGTAGGCCAGACCAAAATAAGGTCAACCAACAGTGGACCTGTTGAAAACTTCTTCGACGAAGGCATGAATGGAGTTCCTGTCCCTCCCCACTCCACCTCCCTTGCAATTTCTCTCCATCTCTGTACCTTGCCGGAGCCTGATCYCCCYCCCCCCCCCCCCYCTCCCATTTCATCCTCGCGATCTCGCGGATCATGCCTGGTTCGGAATCTCCCCCCAACCAGGTCCGAACTCTCAACCACAAACACGCCTATAGGTGTCTGGGTCATTCTGTCTTATTCTTTTTTTATCTGGAGACTTCTACTTCACCTCCTCCTCACGCTTCTCCTCTTCGCACAAACCTCTGGTGATACAGCTACGTATAGAATCTTCGCATCACGGGTGTGGCGGCCGGATGCCGCAGCAAAAGAATAGACAGTGGACACCGCATCAGCTCTCTCTTTTCAGATCTGAGTACACATCAAATCAAAATCATCAGGAGCACAGCGCATGATCCACGCGCTCAACATTCTCTTCGTGTCAGCATCTTTCGCTGACGCAAGATTGTAAATGCTGCAAAGGTTCAGCACCAGCGTCTCATTAAGCATTCCAACGGGGTTCCCTTGCAGCGACTCCTCGAGCACCCTGACTGCACCCATCAAATCCCTCGAATACATCAAACAGATTGCTTTGTTGACAACAGAAACGACATCCGCACTGTCGATCGCTAACACTGCATCGAATTCCCGCATTGCAGCGCCATATTGCTTCGTAGCAAACATTAATAAGCCTCTGTTTCGGCAAAGGAGTGCTTGGAGAGCAGGCGGCAGAGTGGCAGCAAGATCACCCAGAGGACTCCCGTTTGCCTCTTCGTGGTTCTCAGGTCTGCCGTTCCGCACATCCGTACCTTGAAGTCCTTCCTGCTCCCCTTCGTCTTCTCCACTGCAAGATGCTGCAGCCCCGCCACCGTTTTCGACCGCAATTTCTGCGAGCAGCTGCTCCACGCGTGCGAACACAATCCGCGCCCCTTCAACATCGCCCATCTGTAGCCGAACATACCCATACTTTGATAACATCACGGGCTCTCGCGGCCTCGCCCGGAGCATCCGCTTGAGCCACTTCAATGCAACAAGGAAGTCCTTCTGTGCCAGGTGGTGATTGATAATGGAGAAGAGAACAATCTCCTGCCTTTTCATCCACTGATCAAGAAATCGACGGTTCGATCCTGCATGCCAAAACCGACAACCCACCGTGCACAGCCACGCGAATCCACAAACACGGGTGATCAGAGATAGCAAGGACCAGTGCAGGATCCTTCAATGCCCCTCCACTCAAGCTATATCGTCATCCAGGTGCCCGCATCAACATACACATGAAACTGGACATGCCATTAGACCTCCAGGACTTCACAATGGCCCAGCAGTTGTAGCAATCAAATCGCAATTTGGGTACGCTACGTACTTTTCACAATCCAATTTAGAATCAGATGACGAATACATACAGATAACGAGAGCTTCGGAGCTATCAGTTAAATTGATTACTTCAGCTGCCACAACAAGGAGCTCCATTCTATCATGGAGCAACCCCTGTTCTTTGTGTAGTATATCCAGCTGATACAGTTTCACACTTCAAAAGTCCTGGCGTGGAGGATTCCCCCCTTCCTTCCAAGCGTCTCCAAAGCGCCAGCACGGCATTTGCTATTTGAACTTTGTTTCTTTTCAGCTGACGCTGCCAGCCATCGGGATGCAATTTTATTAAAGAAAAAAAGAAAACTCCTCTAATTTCATCTTGACCGGGCAGACAGCTTCAGATGATGACATCTCAACGCCGTCGCCGTTTTTTTCTGGCAGGAAAAGGGGGGGGGGGGGGGGGAAAAAAAAAAAAAAACACTCTTGTTGCTTCATTATGACACCACAACCAGTGATGCAATCATTCGCCTTCCTCGTTCTTTCTTTCTTAATGTTTTATTTCCTTCATCATCCAGGTCTATCGGGACTCTAATTCCGGTCCATATTTCAACAGTTCATGGGTGTACCAACTGAGGTAGGCACTGGTTGGTCCTCACCTTCGTTACTGTCATCAGCCAGTGATCCTGTCTCCCGGTCTTCACAGGCATCCCCACCGGCCCAACCCTGACCGCAACTCTTAGCTCCATTCTCAGAGCTCAAGCCTGCATCTTGCACAGCCCTCGAAATTTCCGGACCGATCCCATCATCCAAGCTCAACTCTTTTCTCAACATATTTGGAAGGGGAGAGGCAGATCGTTCTCCATTTTCCTCTTCTCTGCCGCCTTCCTCTCCCGCCAACAGCACCGAAGACCCTTCTGTGCCCCATCTTCCAGAAACCGAATCCAAATCCGTCTGTCCAGCAGCTTCGCCGCCTTTGACTGTCGTCCTCCCTCTGAGATCACTCGACTCCTCGTGTTGCGGACCGTTGGCAGCATCACCATTACTCTCGGAGGAATCCAACGAGGCGGAGACGAATTCGCCGAAGCCATTGCTCCCACCCGACGACGACCTCTGATGCGAGCTCGCTGCATTTGTTGCAGAAGCCATTTGCCCACCGTCAGTCGCTTCTCCCTTCTCTCTCAGAGCCCCTTTTTCATCCTGTGTCGAGTTGACTCGAAGTAATTCTGACGCGGCAGACGACGGCGTTCCTGACGTTTGAGTGGCAGAACTATCTGTGTTGTCGGCTGATCGGGAGGCGCCTGGCTGGCCTAGACTGCCACCCTTCAGCTCTCCCAAATGGCCGCTCTCATGACGTAACGGGGATGCAGTTGAGGGAGGTGGTGGGACCTTCGGAGGAGTCATCGAACGGCTAGATTTCCGGTCTCTTCGAAGTGAGCCAGTGGGCACCGCAGAAGCAGAGGAGTCGTTCGAGAGCGGGGACGGCCCTCTTTCATTCGCCGGAAAAGCGGCATCTGTCATCGAAAACTTTGCAAAGACCGGGGGGGACGATCGAGACCGCACATGCATTCCCCCTTGAGGCGTGGAAGTAGCTTGGATGAGACGAGAAGGTAGACCTCTTGGATACTCCATCCCCGCTGTTGGTTGCGGAGCGGCCGCATCTGACAACCCAGCTATCACACCGTTCATCCGCCGCACCCAGGGGCTGTCCTTCTTGAGCTGCAGCACGTCAATCTGCAACACGCAGACAACATGCAACAGGCATTCTCAGCAAATGACACCCACCAAATGTCACAAGCAACAAGACAAGGGAAACAAGAGCAATCATAATCTTTTTTTTTTTTTTCATAATCAAACTTTAAAATTGGCTATAACATCCAACTTCTAACCAAATTAAAATTAAATCAATCAACAAAAGAGATCCCTCTCTTCAATCATACCGAATGAATCACCACAGTTATTGTATCAGTCAAAATGCGATCTCAACCATCTTAATTGACACCTCTTAACTGGCACTCTTTTTTTTTCGTTTTTCAGCGTGTTTTCCGGCATGTATGCACTATTCAGAAGTCATCAGCCAAGTGACTATTTTTCATTCTTTTTTTTTTTACATTGATTGTTCCTGATTCCAGAACCCTAGCAACCGTTCTTAGTGAATAAGACAAAATACAATTCAACCAAAAGGACTGGAAATATAAAAGTTGATAGTATAACCTCACTTGATGATTTATATCAAAACAATCGCAGAAAGCCATCTAATAGGAAGAGGACTTCAGAAGAGAGGGTCCGTCTAATAGGAAGAGGACTTCAGAAGGGAGGGTAATGTCATGAGACTGCGAAGCACACAGCCCACAGAATGGACTTGGGAGCCGCAGGATTGACTACTGACTGACAACGGATCACTGGACCAGGCTGCATCGCATTCAGAATGGATAGATTGTCACTGACAACGGATCACTGGGCCAGGCTGCATAGCATTCAGAATGGATAGATTGGTCTTTTGGACATATACCTGCGCATTACACCTCGCAAGTAAGTCATACAGCCGATCAATTGTCCCCTGTGTATTGCTCAGCCTATGTGGCAGCTCCGCATACAGCCACCTCAGCGAAAAAGGAACCAATGAGCCTGCAAGATGCCCCGAACTGCTCACAGGTCAGCACATGCATTACCACACAGAGGACTTCATACAAATAGCCAGTTCCACAATACTAGTAATCTCTCTCTCTCTCTCTCTCTCTCTCTCTCTCTCTCTCTCTCCATCTCTATCTATGTATCTATCTATCTATCTATCTATCTATCTGTGTGTGTGTGTGTGTGTGTTATGAATTACCACCAAAACTTCCCCTATTCCACCCAGATGAGTAGATCCAAAGTCGATAGCAATTTTGCCTCTATTGCAGACCAACTTAGTGTGCTTTCTTACAAATCAAATAACACCCCAAACMCCCCCCCCCCCAAAAAAAAATGACAAAAAAAGCCACCGACTGTGACCCAAAAAAAAGCCAACATTCTCTCGACTAGGTTTCGTCAGAACACACACAGGCTCCATGCATATTTAATAGAATCCCCTCTCTCCCACATCCCCTCCGTGAAGGTTCGGTGTCGAGGCTGCCAAGACTTACCTCTCTTCCCATGGTATATCTCTGGATACGACTCGTACCGATACTTGGGGTCATCCAAATCGCCCAGGCTCCGCAACTCGTCAGCCGCCGCACCAAACATCCTCAACTTCATGAGCGCCAGCACGTGGTACGCGCTAAATGCGAGAGCCTCATCAGGTGGATGGAACATTAGGAACTTGTGGGCCTCCTTGACCTTTTCGACAATTCCCCGCCAAGAGCCTTGGCGCTGCAGCACAGCACGCAACCAAAATAAAAAACAAACCAAAATATAAAATTAAAAAAAAAACACCCTCGGATCTAAATGACTGTATCACCTGAGTCGAAAATCACCCATCTAGCCACTCTTCCAAGGGGGGGGGCGCGGGGGGKAGGGGGGGGRGGGGRGGGGGGGGGGGGAGTAAAGGTGGTCCAACAACTCTGCCTGCACATCAAAGTACATTCATTACTTGAGAGGAGGACAGTCTGAAAGCGCGTGGTTTGGCTGTCCAACATCAAACTCGTTTCTTCTTAGGGTCGGTGAATGCACCTAGGCACACACGTTGTCCAAATTCGTTTCAGAAACTTGAAGAGGAAGGAAAGCTCACCAATTATTATTACACGTTTCATTTACTTTTTTCCTTATTTCGGTCATTTTGCAATTACTTCACTCTTTTGTTCTTCTTTTTTTTTTCTTTTTTTTTCCCCTCACTCTTTTTCTTTTACTTGAGGTTAAAAAGGGAAGAAAGGAAAACGTATCCGTCACAACGGATCAGATATATTAAACTGGTCTTTTTTTTCTTTTCTTTTTTTTGCGGTCCGATGGACCACGGAGCAGATATTAAACTGATAATTTTTTACCCAGTTTCACTTACGAGCAATTCGCTCGCCACGGGTCCCCGCCCACTGAATTGAATTGGAATAATATAAACTGACTTCTTGTTATTTAAAAAAAAAACATAAAAAAAACGTATCCGTCATTTAATCATCTGATGATTTGGTACAGGTCCCGATTGAGAGAATTCATTTGATTTGGTTGGCAAATTTATCTTCTTTCTTTTTTTTTCATTCAAAAAAAAAGGGCGACAGCCTTGTCATATATTATCTTTGCACTTACCTGCCCCAGTTAAAATTCAGAGTTACTTTTGAGTTCAGGTCTGCCTGCATTCCCAAAACTTCGTGGGTGTACCAACCGATTCGGTCAATTTGTTGATTTCAACCCCACAGTCCATGCCAGTCATCGGCCGCGAGCCCCTTTCGAAGGAGGCCGCCCACCGTTGATTTATTTTATGGACGGCACACAAGCCTCCTCAATTTTAGGAGAGGCTCCCAAAAATTTTAGGAGAGGCTCAATCGGACTCTCAACTTGGCTGGGGCCATGTACCCGAGCTTTAGAATCTCTACTTCCGATAAACTCTTTATTTGGCAGATTTTTTTTATTATTATTAGGTTTTTTTTAAGTGTTTTGGCAGTATTTGCCATCGGCGACATCAGGAATAATTATTTCACAGAACCAGAAAAGAATGGGAGCAGAAGCAGAATAGAATGGGAGCTGATTCCCAGAATGGATACGAATCCAGGACCATAAGGGCCTGTTTAAAAAAAAAAAAAAAAAAAGAATGGGAGCTGATTCCCTGTCACTAAATACAGTTTTCTTTACCAACACTTCGCATTCACCTCTCTCTCTCTCTCTCTCGTGCGCGCGCGCGCGCGCGCTTTTTTCGAGTCGGAAACTTCACGCCAAACATCAGAAGAGAGAGAAAAGAAGAGGCAGAGAGAGAAAGGAAGAGAGAGAGAGAAAGAACAGCAGAGAGAAAGAACAGCAGAGAGGGAAAAAAAAAAACAGTGGAAGTGAGAAGTGTGGAGAGAGAACCAGAGAGCAATGCGAAGGACTGGAAGCAGAAGAGAAGGGGAGAAAGTGGAGGCAGAGGAGCAAAGGCGAACGAACGTCAGAAGAGGACGAATACGAAGAAGTTACAGAGACAAAATGGAAGGGACGACATGACAGAAACGAAAAGGAGATCGAGAGGAGGAAAAGGAGGGAAAGAGAGAGGAGAAGTAAACGTCTTTTTTTCTTTTTTTCTGTTTAAGGCAGACGTGGACAGATTCAGAAACGGGGAAAAAAAAACAAGATGAAGGACGAGTGGATCGACGACGAAGAAAAAAGAGAGGAAGACGACTCTGGGGCCGCAGTGTGAGAAGGAAGGACGAGAGAGAAAAAGGACGAAGCAAAGAGGACCAACGGATTCGTGGTAGTGCGGACTCTCTCTCTCTCTCTCTCTCTCTCTCTCACACACACACACACACACACACACACACACACACACACACACACACACACACACACACAGAGACAGACAAACGAATCGCCTGGAAGGAGCGGGCGAGTGCGGATTGATCTTAACACTTACATGAGCCATGCTCATCTAGATACTACTCTTTAAGCGACGACATAGCCTGAAGGGGTTTTGGGGGGTTGCGGCGAGTTGGGGGGCTTGGGGTTGGGGGTGGGGATGGAGGAGAGTAAGCAAGTGAGGCAAGCATGGGAACGTTCACCCGGGAAAGGGGGGAGGGAAGGGAGGGCGGAGGGGAAGGCGGTAGGGTGGGGGAGGAAAGGCGTTTATAGGTCATCAACGGGGGTCACACTAAGGTTGCGTTTTTTTCCACGGAGAAGCCCCCCATATAACCAAGTTACTATGGTGTCTCCTACAACAGGTATTGCACTAGCTCGGGGGGGTCGGGAAGAGGGGGAGGGGGGGGGGAAGATGGGAAAGTGAGGGGAGAAGGGGAAAGGATGGGGTTAGGTGGGGCGGCAGCCGTCCATGCGGCAGAAATTCAGAGAACAAGAGACTTCTCCGCCGACGAAGAGGGCAGAATAGCAATTAGCGCATTAACTATCGAGACTACGTTCTCCCCCCGAATACAACGTACGGTTAATATAGCTTGATTCGCGGAAAGAAGGTAGATGAATGAAACCGAGTACTTCAAAATTACACCTGGGGCTGGTCAGTTCGATGATGCTCATGCTCATATCTCAAAGACATCGACCTTTTATAAAAAAAAAAAAAAAAAAGCCGGCACAAACAATCTATCGAGTCGATCAAAAGACAGAAGAGGAAAA